TAATGCAACTCCTATATTATCAAGCAATGTTTAAACTTTACGTGTTAAGTTAAGACATGAAGCTAGCTTACGCTACATGGCCACTGATATTTTATTTTGTAGTCAGATTACAAGCAACAAACGTCAACAATGTTGATAATGTGGGAGACCAACCATCATTTCTCAAAATTGTCCCCGCTATATCAGTCTTTAGCCAACTAATGTTGATAATGTGGAGACTAGTCATCACTTCTCAACAGTGTCCCCGTTAAGTCAGACAACATACAACAAACGTCAATAATGTTGATAATGTGGAGACTAGTCATCACTTCTCAACATTGTCCGCGTTAAGTCAGACAACATACAACAAACGTCAATAATGTTGATAATGTGGAGACTAGTCATCACTTCTCAACATTGTCCCCGTAAGTATTCAATGTAATTTATTCATCTTTTCATAAGTTTTTTAGCAACTCGGTAAAGTGCAGGTGTAGTTTTATTAATTCAATTGTGTATTGCTGCTTTAAGAACATCAGTTGTCCGAAAGCGTTGTCTACAGACATCCTTCGTTGTTGTACAACCTTTTCAACAAGAACTTGAGTACAACACGTTCTTGAAAATCAATGTCACTCGGAGTATCATTGTATTGCACGCCATCTTTCGTTTAAATGCAATGCTTATATGAATGAATAATATAGTGGTAAACTAATCGCTTACAGAGGAGATGATAATGACATTGTTTGTTGCGGATGGTTGGTTGATCGAGAGAAAAAAAGGAATATGACCGACATTTTTTCAAAATCTTTTATTATTCATTTTAATGAATTATAACCGTTAGTTGGTGCAATAGTAATGGTCAAGTTATAAGATTAAACCGCTACCAAAAGTAGTTTCCCAAATAGTTTCTGTGAGAGATTCAAATTTGGATTGTTACTGGTACAAGATATATATATATATATATATATGCGGGTATGTGTTCTCTCTCTCTCTCTGTATATATACATAGAAAGAGGAGGGGGTAAAGATGTTTACATTGTTTGCGGAGCAAAGTTCTACATTTAATTACATAGGTAACTAGGAGGTCAACAGAGAGAAAAAAAAACAGGCCTGCAGAGAGTTCTAGAACGTTACTCTATATTCTCATCCCATCAAACAGTGAGAGTACCTGCGACATCCGACGAGCGATTGCACGAGCTTGAGGTAGGAAGATCCAGCCTTATACTTTAATATTGTTTTCACTAAAGAGTTCAGGACAGGAACTGGGCACGTGTGTGTTGTGTAAATGGTACGTAATGAGAGGTCCACGCAGGCTAATTTCCCGGGAAATCCTACTCAGAATCAATTGTTATGCGATCGCACTGGTCGGTAAGTTAAGCGTTGACTGGAAATTGACCGGATATTGACATTAGCTTACGATGGATCTACTGTGATATCAAATTGTCTACGTTGAAGCGAGCAGTCTTCTGAAAGTGACCAATCTATGAAGGTGTAGTCTTACGTAGTATGTACTTTGTCCTGTGTATGTAGTTCAGAAACTAAAGTACACGAGGATATAAGATGAAACCAACTCTAAACAGAATTCCCAACAAACGAAAATAAACTAGAAAGGCAGACATTCGCAAGCGAATGCGAATTACCTCCCTTCTCCATCCACCTTATTAATTAGTATCCTCAAAATACAGCAGATTTCAAAAGATAAGCATGTATTCAAGGCATGAATTACAAAGCTTACGAAATTGTGACCTTATAATACATAAGACATTCAGTTTTTGCGTAAATGAATTTATCCGCAATGACAAAATCTTTATAGGTAACTTTTGGGCGTACAAGACCTATTCTTCGACACGGCATCTGCATTGTTTAAACTACAACTCTAACAATACTGGGCCCTTGTAACGTTCATATAAATACAGACAATACAGCTATGTTCAGAGCTTCGTCTTACGTAGATTGGATTTTTTTTTTTTTAATTTTGACCCTGCAAAATCAAAAGAGAGGCTTAAAGTCGAACGAAATCTCTTTGCTTTAGTCTGTGAGGAATGCTGCAAGGTATCTTTGTGTTAAGCCTCATTTGGATTTATTGAAATCTAAGGGAACTGCGGACCAAAATATATGTTTTTGTAATGTTTCACCTTTGAGCCCTAAAAATCCAAATGGGACCTAAATAAAAAGAAATTCTGGGCTTATTGGATCAAGGAACATGCCCTTCAAGCTTCAAGATGATCGGCCCACAGGGAATGGTGCACAATTGCTTCAAGGTGATCGGCCCACATGGAATGGTGCACAATTGCTTCAAGGTGATCGGCCCACAGGGAATGGTGCACAATTGCTTCAAGGTGATCGGTCCACATGGAATGGTGCACAATTGCTTCAAGGTGATCGGCCCACATGGAATGGTGCACAATTGCTTCAAGGTGATCGGCCCTGGAATGGTGCACAATTGCTTCAAGGTGATCGGTCCACGTGGAATGGTGCACAATTGCTTCAAGATGATCGGCCCACATGGAATGGTGCACAATTGCTTCAAGGTGATCGGCCCACAGGGAATGGTGCACAATTGCTTCAAGGTGATCGGCCCACAGGGAATGGTGCACAATTGCTTC